AACCTACCTACCTGCGTCCAAGACCACCATATATCACCCCAAGCTAACACACCCACGCCGGCACCCGGCTTCTCCTGTTCACGCATTGTCCCTGGAGGGCTGGATCCCAATCACTTATCGCCCGCAACCCACTCCTACCTCCTGATGTCGAGATGAGCAGAAATGGTGTACGGCACACCCACAGGTACATTGGGTTAGTGTTCTGGGACTTGGGGCTTTGGGAGGGGAGATCCTGGGTTTAAGGGCACACACGGGAGCTGATACACACCTGAAGCAGGCATGCGGCGCGGGTCTTTGGGCCACCCCCTGACTCTCTACCATGGTTGTTGCCCGACACGGGGTGGGCACGAGTCACTTTGGGGGGGAGAGGGACAAAGGGGGGCAACGGACAGCAGATACCAACAGCCTGGCTGGATATTCAGCACAAAGCCAGGACATCCTGGACGCAAATACGGTGATCCCCCACAGATGAGGACACTAAATTGGGACACTTGCATTTAGAAAGGGTAACTTTGATCCAGGGAGTTGGATGAGAGCGGGTTGGGAGGAGAGGTAAAGGGGAATAATCCTAACTGTTGATGCATGCTAATATAACCTGACGTTGACCGTATCGTATTCACTGCTACTCCTAATTTTACAGGCCCATTGTTTCCTAGAGGCATCAGATAGAAATAGTTTGTAGCACACCAACCGGACCCCATTGTATCAACTGGACGTAGCGGTCCTTCAGGAAAGATAGTGAGGACACACAGACTGTTATATAACCTAGACCTCAGTGCTTACAGTAACGCAGACATACAGATAATTTTAAGTCCTGACCAGCATAGGCTGCAAATACCCACTTGCGTCTGCCTGCCTACTCCAAGCTACGCACCCTATTCAGCCCTCACTTGCTGATACAAACGCACTTAGGTGCGCCTTCCCCCCCACCCCCCTTATGGGTACTGGAGAGAATAGGGACGAAATGAAGGAAGTGAGTATCGAATAAATTGCACATGATCATGGGAGCCGGAGCTCTAGGGATAGTTATGGGACGAGTCAGGGTGCTGTAACCATGACACCACACCAATACTAGATCTGAGGAGGCCACCACTCCACAACCCTGTGGATATGGGAAGCTGACGTGGGGCGACCGGTGCGAATGGACGTGGGAGTGGTGTTCACTGCTGGGGGAGAAGCGAATGGGGAATGACGGGACACTCTGGATTAAAGAAAAGCTATCTCAATCGTGACACTTGTAAATATGTTAATCTGTTAATTTGATGTTAAAGCTTAAATGCCTTGAATGGGAATACACAATACATGTTAGCTGCAGCCACTCACTCAGCTATGATTTTGGGGGTCGCGGCGGAGAGGAGAGCCCCATGTATACTCTTTGACACCTTATCTGGGCGGAGCTCGAGTCACGTTCCCTAACACATACACTCGCGCTAAGAGGTTTGTGGCCAGGTTACGGGGTATCTGGTACCAGAGTGAGCACCTGTTAGCGCTGGTCACAGCGCGAGATCTCCCCCTACTCTGTAGAGGGAGTACGGATCTGGGACATTGCTGGAATCCGAGTGGATACCTACACTAAAGGGTATACATCTCCTTTTAGTTCTTAACTTTCACACAACACATTCGGCTCCACGCTCGGGTACTGGGCCCCGGACTCTAGACTTGTTGCACCGGTTGCAGCCCCCTATTTACGGCTCCCTCCCATACGCTTAATCCTCGCCTCCTTCCACCTCCCTCCACTGCCCTCACTCCGCACCTCGGCCCGGCCTGTGCCTCGGATGTGTGGTCCCCCCTTGGGGCGGCGGAGCATTGGGAGAGACCCCGGGTCCGACACTGATCTGGAGAGGTTCTCAACATACATAGAGAAAATGACCTACCAAAGCGCACCTTTGAAGATCATCACACAGAATTGCAGAGGACTGAATATCCCTGAACGTAGGACACACCTGCTACGAGAATTGAGGAAAAAACATGTAGCGATAGCAATGCTCCAAGAAACGCATTTCAAGGAAGGATCGTCCCCAAGAATACGGAACAAGCATTATCCTAACAACTACTTCTGCAACCACCCGATGGCTCATAAATCTGGAGTGGCCATACTATTAGCCGCTGAGCTCGAGTTCAAAGAACTAGAACATATACAAGACTCACAAGGAAGATACCTCTTCCTTAAAGGCACCATAGCAGACAGGATATACACAATAGCGACCATCTATGTGCCCAATAAAAGACAGGCCCCATTCCTCCGAAATGTGTTACAACAACTAGAGGACTTCACGGATGGGATACTATTGGTAGGAGGCGACTTCAACACCCCACTCGATCCTACACTGGACTCCTCCACAGGTCATAGCTGCCTCTCACAACATAACATCAGATCCATCTGACAGTCGTTGGAGGCTCTGAGGCTAGTGGACTGTTGGAGAACGCTCCATCCCACTGTGAAGGATTTCACCTACTTTTCCGCCCTTCACGATCGATATTCCCGTATAGACTATATCCTTATTGCCCAGGAAGGACTTTCCCACCTGCGCGGAGCTAAGATCGAGCCTGGCACCTGGTCGGACCATGGATCGGTCGAGATAGAACTGGACTCACCCCTGTACAGACCAAAGGCGTGGACCTGGAGACTTAATGAAGCTCTACTGCTAGACCCGGATACCAAGGAACAAATTCAAAAAGCACTGGAACAATACTTTAGGGAAAATGACTCCCCAGAGACCTCCCCAATATC